AAAACCCCAGTTGGTGATATTCTGATGGGGCTGGAATTGCTCTGACATCGTCCATGTGGATTATTCAGTGAATATTGGAGTCTGGGGGGAGCAGGGTTTAGAACAGAATCCTCCGTGTGAGCTGTGAAACTGGTTTATTGTCATTCCCAGGGCAGAAGAGGGCTGGCTCCCACCAGAGGAAATAGCACCTCTAATTTACTGTAGAGCTGCCACCAATTCGCTTGATCTTGCCACCAGTAAATATCACTGCCAGATCAGCAGAGCCGCAGGGTGGGCAGGGAGAGGAAAACTACTGAGGTGGAAAAAAAAATCCCTTCCAGCTACAACCCAGGGGGCTGGCGGGCCCCTCGGTGGCCGGGGGATGCTGGGGACCACCCAGCTGCCAGCTCTGCCACGAGAAGTGGTACCCACGAGGTGTCCCCAGCCCCACATGTGCTCTGGAGCACACCCTGTCTGACAGCAATGTGTGTAAGAGGGGGCTCAGAAAGTGGCTTGGGGGGGTCTGTTTTCATTTAAACACCCCCCAGGTGCCCGGGCAGGGTTTGGGTCCCTCGCCACGTGCCGGCAGCAGAGCCCCTGTGCATCCCAGCCCCTGCGCACTGAAGGAAGGGTTAAAGTTCCCTTCAAACCCAGACCCCGCAGCTACTGGGGATGGCTTTGGGCTCACAGCTGACCCCGGGTCCCTGCCGGGAGGGGACATTGGTCCCACGCCCCCACATCCCCCCGGCAGCGCGGGTCCTTGTCCTGCCGCGCAGGGACTCGCTGGGGAGAGAGCTGTTTGAATCGACTGCCTGGAGAGTGATGTCACCGGAATCGCAGGGAGGAAAAAGCCAAATAGGGCAGCATTTTAGTGAAAATATGTCCTAAAATGGGAGTTTCACTGATGATTAACAAGCACAAAACACAGATATGATATTACCATGTTGAGAGAGCAGAGCCCGGCGCAGCCTCAGACGCTGGAAAAAACCCTCCGAGACCCAGAAAGACGAGAGGAAAAGCATCCTGGTTCCGAGCAGTTTTCTCCGCAAAAGCAGGCGGTGTCAGGAGGTCAGTGTGTGAAGAATCTCGGTGCTGAGGCAGATGGACAGATCAATGCAGGGAGGATATTTTTTTCCCTCGGAGGATATTGTTTTTTGAAGAGTCTCTTCAGTATGCTGTTGGCTTTTCAACGTAAAGCAATGAACCTGCTCTGGCAAAGAGAAAAAAATGTTATTTTAAAGGTGCTAGAAGAAAAAACACACAGGGGAAGCTAAACTGAGCTGAAGAAGTGGGGAAGGGGAGGACACAGCTCCTTCCCACCCTCCTGCCCGCTGCTCCTGGGGCTGGAGCAGGCACTGGTGGCCTGAGGGGACCTGGGCAGGACAGTGGAGCTGGTGGGAAGCTGGTGGGCTTCATGCAAGGCTTCATCCCTCCTGGCATGGAGGAGGTGTTTGGGTTACCCCAGTGTGCTCAGGGCCCTGGGGGAGGATGGAGAAGTGGAGAGGGGCTGGAGGGAGGGAGGTCCTGGGGGGAAACCCAGTGAAACTCACCAGGAATCCATCCACCTCTCGTCCTCTGTGATGCTGTGGTCGCCTGTCACCAACAACCGCAGAGGATGAGCTGAAAGCACAGCTGTTGCAACCAATCTATCATATTTATTTGTTGACACTGCATCACCAGGAATCCATCCACCTCTCGTCCTCTGCGATGCTGTGGTCGCCTGTCACCAACAACCACAGAGGATGAGCTCAAAGCACAGCTGCTGCGACCAATCTATCATATTTATTTGTTGACATATTTATTTGTTAAGGGCTGTTGTGTCAAGAGATTGAACTTGTTTTATAAACCCTCAAAGGGGTCTGGGAGGACAGTGGGAAACTTGGGACTCACCTGGCAGAGTTTGTTCCCTTCAGCGCAGATGGGACCCCAGCAGGAGGTTACCCAGACCCGTGCTGCAGCGGCTGAAATAACCCTCAATTTGAGCAAATTCAGTTGTGCTGGAGCTGCAGCCTGTGTCTGTGGAAGCTGTGAGCCTGGGGGGGCTGCACAGGGATTAATTTCTGGGCAGCAAGTCCATAAGGACAAATTCAGGGACCAGCCAAGGCCCCCGAACCCCCCTTCTGGTGCTGGGGGAGATGCGGGGAAGGGATGGCAGAAAACAGCCACGCTCAGGTGCTGTCCCCAAACAGCATCCCTGTGGTCCTGCCAGGGGTGCCTCCGCTCGCACCCGGCAGGGCCTTAAAAAGCTTCATTTTCTGTAAAAAAGAGCATAAGTGTGTCAGCATCATCAAGTTTCTTTCCTTGTTCCCATGCAGCACCAATAATAAGGCAGTAGTGCAGTTGTTAATACCAGCAGTGACCAGTCCCCTCTGTGGGTGCGGGGCGTGCAGGCCGGCAGCGGGAGCACAGGGCTCTGCCTCCCGGCGCCCCGTCACCCGGGAATTTTATAGTTTCCTGTGAAAGAGGTCCTGCTCATTCATCAGGCATTGAGAAGTCTGCCCCAGCCAAGAATGTATTTATTTTTCATCTAAATATAGTTGACGTTCTATTAAAAAAACGCCAGGAACGGCAGGAGTCCCACCCCAGGGCCGTCACGGGGGGAGGCAGCAGCCGGCCTCGGGTGTCAGCCCCCCCTTCCCACGTGTGCCTTCACCCAGGGATGCTCGTCCCACCTCGGCTGGGTAAGGCTCTGGCACAGGGACAGTTGCCCAGCGTGTGGGTGCGGGATGGGCTGACGGCCCCACAGCCCCCAGCTGCTCCCCCCGACCCCCCCATGCCCAGGTGAGATGCCAGTGGCCACGGCGTTTCCCCGAGCACGGGGACACGGGCACGTTTGGGCACCGATGGGAAAGCAGGGAGCTAAAGGCCCTGAGGTCCCTCCTGCACCTCCCGGGGGGCTGGGGACAGTGCAGGGCAGGGGACTGCAGAGGGAGGATGTCCCATGTCCTCTGCCACGGCGGGAGCGGGGTGCTCCGTGTCAGGAGACCCCAGCCCAGTCCTCCCCGCACAGCAGCGGCAGCAGAGGATGAAGTTTATCTCGTGCTTCAAGAAGGAGAGCGAAGTGGGGGTTGTATTTGTTTCTGAACAACCACTGGCAACTGCTCCGTTCAGAAGGAATCTGGCCGGACGATTATTTAGGCTATTTGGATTGCTTCTAAAGCTTATCCAAACCGTCTGCTCCCGCTCTGTTGGTGGCTCAGAAGGAAAACCAGCCTCCCTTCTTTCCTCTGTGCCCCGATGGTGCTGTGTGGTCCTCTCAAAGGGCAAGGTGCCCCCCATCAGCCTCAGGTCCAGCCCCGGCAGAGCACAGGACCCTGCCTGGGGATGGCCACTGGTTGCATGTTGCTGCTAGCCCAGTCTGGCAGGGTAGGGTGGTTTCCCTGGGGACTCAGCCCGGCTGCTGCCCGCTCTCCTGCTCCCAACCCCGCAGCATCCCAGGGGCTGAGCATCCCTGCGCCTCCCTCATCTCCCTTCTCCCCTGCCAGCCCCTGGGAGCCATTCCCAGCTCTTTTTCTCAATAATTCACCTTCTGTGTACACACCAACATTTCCATACTGACAGGCAGCCATCTCCAGGGGTTTTGCTGCCCGAGCTGTGGGGCTGCAGGAGCCCTGATGGGCAGAGGGGGCTGCAGCTCAGCTCTCACCCAGGCTGAACCCTTCAAACACGACAGAACCAAGCCCTGGCTGTGGCTGCAGGGACGGCACTGACTGCCCTGCACAACCACAGACCATGGCTCCTGCAGCTCTTTCCAGGGGATCCCAACACCAGCACCCTCTGCCCTGTGCTGCACTGGCCACCCAGTAGAATGAGGTGCAGGATCAGCTCCTCGGGTCATTTTCAGCCTTGAGCAGGTCAGGGACGTGTTTAACCGGGGCAAGGCCAGGCTGAAACCGCATTAGATGCATCTGCTGAAAACAATCTGTCACTGCCAGGCAGGCAGGCTGCGTGATTTATGTGCCCCGCTGGCCTGCTCCATGCACCTGGCTATAGAAAATGCATACATATATCTATCTATATATATATTTGTAAGTACAAACGCACACTGTGATATATATATGCACATATATATATAGGAAGGAACAACTTCACATGTGCATCCTGCAGTGCTGTCTAAGGAAACCTGTTCTTACCTCCTTTGTGCCCTGGAGCCTCGAAGCTCTGAAGTGAAGGGTTTGCCAAAACAATATCCATCCTTGTGGATTTTTAAAGATCGAACAATCCTCCTTTTTAAAGACTGAAAAGCCTCCCTCTGCTCCCCTGGGCATTGCTCTGTGCTGGGGTGGGCGGGGGCTGCCGGTACCACCCATGCAAACCCCCCCGTAGGCCCCAAACAGCACAAGAACTATATAAAAAATCACGAGGGAGGAGAGGAGGGTTGTTTGGTTTGACTTTAAATACGAGTGTTGGTGTCTTTCTGTTTGCTTGCACATTTCTGAAATGTTCAGGGCCCCTTCGCTTCATCTCGTTAAGCACTAAGCTGCAAACACAAGTGTTTGCACTTAAATTCAATCAGCCTTAAACCCAACCTTCACCTGCGAGCTCTGCTGAGATGAATGTTGCAAGATTGGTGATAAAAAAGGAAAAGAGGAGCTTGTTCTCCCTTGCCTGGATGAGGGCTGGGAACCAGCGGTGTCCCCAGGGCAGAGCTCATCCCCGCCACGGGCACAGGGGTGACCCCACGTCCACCCCCCAACCTCCTGCTCTCCCCTCCCCGCAGCCACCGAGGGCAGCACCCACAGCAAGAGCCTTTCATTCTCAGGTAATAATTTTTATGTTGGTACAACCACCCCTCAGATGGTGTTACTGGGTACTTTAAAATGAAAACCTTTAAAGTTAGATTTGCTAATGGGATGGATTTTGAAATATATCATTATAGATTATGTAGTAACTTGGGAAAACTGGCAAATAAAATGGGGAAAGAAGGGCCGTAGTCACAAACTGCAGAGCTGGGCTGCAAACGCCTCTGTCGATGTGCATCACTTTAATGACACAGATCCGCAACGAGAAAGGAAACACATCCATGGGGGGGAAATCTCCCCCCCAGGCCTGATCCTGCACCCTCGGAATCATTTCCAACCCCTCCCACACCAATGGGACTGGGATCTCCCCCCCTGGCTCTGATGCGGGTGGTTTGGAGGGAGGGGTGTCCTGGTTTTCTCCCCTTCCCCGTTTTGGTGCAGTGCCCCGTGTCAGACACCAGCACAGGGTGGGAGTGATGGTCCCAGAGCATCCCTGGATCCCCCGGGCAGGGGCAGGGGGGGCACTGGGTGCCCTGGTGGTGTTTCTCTCCAGTGCTCAGAGGAGGGTGCAGCCCCAGCAGCACCGCCCGGGGGAGTCCAGCACGTACACCTTGTTCTCCAGCCCATAGACGTAGTAGAGGTAAGGCTTCCCCGAGTACTGGGAGTGAACTTCTGTGATGGGGATTAGCTCGACTGTTTGACGCTGGGAAAGGAAGGGAAAAGCTCGGATTAAGGAAGTGGTGCGGAGCAGGGGCTGGATCTCGCTTTAGACCGACATGAGTAGAGAGGAAAGAAGCCCCAGCCTTTAGCCAGAAGCCTCGCAGGTCTGAGAGGATTGCTGTGTTGTGAAGGGGGAAAGAAAACCTGATGGAGCCCCCCCAGCCCAGCCCCACAGCCGTCGGCAGTTCCCCTGCCTGCAGCCAGCATCTCCCAGCCCCCGCAGACCGGACCATTTTTACTGCACTTGTAGCTATTTAAGCTAATTCCTTAAAGCCTCGTGTCCCATCCTGGGTGTGTTAGCACATCCCCTGTCTCACCCGTGGTTGAGGTCTGTGTGTGAACACAGATCCCTGTCCCTGCCCCGGGAACATGGGAAAGACATGGGAAAGGCTGGATGTGCACCGGTGATCACTGGTGCTGGTGGTGAATGGTGGACACAGGTCACCTCTGTCCCTCAGCAGCAGGAGAAGATGTTGGTGATGGGCCACACTGTGCTCTGGTACTGCAGAAGTTGCTGCAGATTTAACCCCTGCAGCTCTGCTGCCTTCCCTGCCTGGGGGAAGGAACCTGCCTGCATAGAATCACAGAATCAGAACAGTTTGGGCTGGAAGGGACCCTAAAGATCATCTAGTCCAGCCCCCCAGGTGAATGGTGGACACAGGTCACCTCTGTCCCTCAGCAGCAGGAGAAGATGTTGGTGATGGGCCACACTGTGCTCTGGTACTGCAGAAGTTGCTGCAGATTTAACCCCTGCAGCTCTGCTGCCTTCCCTGCCTGGGGGAAGGAACCTGCCTGCATAGAATCACAGAATCAGAACAGTTTGGGCTGGAAGGGACCCTAAAGATCATCCAGTCCAGCCCCCCGGCTCTCACCTCCTGCTGCAGCTACACGTGCAAAGTCTCCGCTTTAGGTAAAGCTCAAGGAGCCCAGCACAGCCTGTGGGGCTCCAGCCCCTCTAACCCCAGAGGGTACCCCTGCTCCTAGAATATACCTCCAACACACGGCCAACGGGAGAAGCCAGAAGAGAACCAGCCAAGGAGAGCAAAGCAGACTCCCCGCCAGCTTTCTCCAAAAGATGCTGGGTGTTAAAGGGAAGAGCTTCAGCCAACGACAAACAGAGGGGATGAAGAACTGAACAGTGGGGAACACGCCGGCAGAAGGTGGGCTGGGTGGGCACAAATCCAGCCTGGTGCCAGGGTCTGGCAGGGTGGGAGCTTCCCAGCACCTCCTTCCCCAGCAGCCAGAGGATGCCTTGGCTGGTGCACAGCCTCCGGCCAAAAAACTGCCTTGGATGCTGAGAAGGGGAAATTATAGGCTGGAATCGAGTTGGAAGACAGGAATTTGCCAAAGAGCTGGTTTTGACAGACCACATGGAAAATCAAACCATCTCCCCCTTTAAGTTTATTTTGGTCTTTCAGTTTACTTGCATTTTTAATGTGAAACCTCCTCTTTCCTGTGGGTGAAAAGACAGTATGTTCTAGCTAAACTTTCGCATTTGCAATCACATTTATAACAGCAGCAACAGAGATTGCAACACTCCAGCCAGAATCTGATGGAGTGGAATCCTAATGTTTGTTCAAAATTAACTTCTAAGATAAAAACAGTGGTAATAAATAACGTTTGCCGGGGCTTTGTAAAGGTAAAAGGAACAGTAATAACCACAGTCGCCTGCATCTCTCAATACATGTCTGAAAAATTATTTCCCTGGTATTTCACTTGGTAATTAAGATTTCTTTGATAATTAGAATTTCTTTTTCATTTGCTAAAGATCACTTCTAAATAAAAAATTAAACCAGTTACCATCTCAACATCTTACTGTGCCTAAACAAGCTCACTAATTAATTGTCTTTAGCTGATCCCCCCCTTTACCTGGCGGAGGATGCGGGAGGTTGTGGCGAGCGCCGCGCTGTGCTCTGCGATGGCTCGCTGCGAGGCCAGGGAGATCTGGGGGTCGGGGAAGTCCACGATGGGGTACACCTGCAAGAAATCAACCCAACAGCACCAGAGACACCCTGTTTGTCTGGCACATACTCGTTCCACCCGCTGCCGGCACACGCAAGGGAAGGCCTGGGCATATAATGGACATACACTGAATAAATGCTAAGCTCAGAGTCCCAAGGGCATGTCCATCCACCCCAGCAGAAGGCAGAAGTGTCCAAACCAGGGATCGTGCCTCTCTAGAGAGCGGTCGGTGCTGCTCATGTTTTAACCAAACCAAGCTCTTTGTTTAAAACCAGCACTGGGTGACTCTGTGCCCCAAGAGGACCCACTGTCACCCCCTTCCAGCAGCGCTGTCAGATCTGAAAGGGTTTTTCAAAGCCTCTCTGTTTCCCCCCAGCACACGGATGGTTGGCAGAAGAAACACTGGGCTTGTGGGCAGAGCAGAGCCAGTCATGGACGCAGCGACTCCCTGCACAGCCAGGAGTGACAGCAGCTCGTACGAGAGACCCCACTGGTTTTAGTGCCCGTAGAACTTTGCATCTAAAGCATTTGTTGGAGAGTGACTCAGATGCCAAAGCATCATTCAGTTCCCAGAGGGATTCTGCAGTGTCCTCACTACAGATGTGTGACACCAAGTAATAGCTCCAGGGGGAGAGCTAGTCTGTGCCACCTCCCAGTCTGGTACATGACTGAAGTTTCTACAGGTGACTGCAAAACAACTAATAAATAATAAAACAGTACAGTCAAATCCTCTCCTATTTGTACTGACATTAAAAAAAAACAAAAACAACCTGAGGCCTGAGCAGCACAGAATTGGCTTTGGCTGTAGGACAGCACTGTGCTTCAGCCATTTTCACACTGTTTTGCCCCAGATTTTTGCAGGTATACGGAGCCAGGTTCCCCCTGGGAGGGAGCTGGAGGAGAAGAGATGTCCAGCATTGATGAACACCTCGTTTAATGGCCCTGCACATGCCCAGGGCAGCCCAGCCAGTAGCCTTGGCCAGCAGCAGCATCTCTGGGCTGGATCCCAGCTCCAGAGCTCCTGGACCAGCTCCTGTGGGCAGGATGAGCTCCCGGCTCCTCTGCTGGCAGCAGGCTTTGCCCCAGGGACAAACGCGCTGCTGGATGTCCCCTGCTGATGCTGCAGAGCTGTGGAGAACAACTCTGGGGTGGGATTTCTGCTGGTCTGGCACTGGCCACCGACTGCTGTGGCAGGGCTTGGTGGTGGTTTGTCAGGCAGAAAACCCAAAACCCCTCAGTTCTTCAGGGGAAGCCGAGGATGCTCTGCCCTCCCGAGGGGCAATGGCTGGAAGCCAAAGGCTCCCTGGTGCCAAGCCATCAGACCACAGAGGTCACCTGCTCCTACCAGAGCACTTCTCTTCCAGCTCAGGAGCTCCCTGGCCCCAATGGCCCCGCAGGGAGGAGAGAAGTCGTGATCTCGCAGTCGCTGCTGGCAGAAAAAGACCCACTTTTGCTGGATTTCATAATCCCTGTGTTTCTTCTGACTGTAGAAATTGGAAAAGCTGTGTTCCATCAACAGGAACCTGATAGTTCTGCTACAGGAGAGGGTTATCACCGTGTCCAGAGCAGCTGGAGGCATTTCACACCCTCCTCGTCCACAGCCACACAGGGAGGGATCCCCCCCGCCCCGGCATCCCCAGAGTCACACTCACCACCACATTTTCATCTTTGAATATATTCTCTCCACTGACTTTGCGGAGCAGCTTTTCTGGGAAGTTGAGATGATGCTCAGAAACAAATTCAAAGACGTTGTTCTTCCTGCAAGAGAGAGGGGAAGCAGCTGCACAACCCGGAGCTGGCTGTGAGCTGTCTCCAGACCCTTCCTAAAGTCCCAACAACGCTTGGATGCTCCCTGTTTTCCCAGGACAACACTCAACACCTGCCTAACCTTTGTGCACTCCTGCCTTAGTTTCTTAATAACCTTGTGTATGCAACATCCATTGATGACTCTGGCATAAACACTCCTGAAATCAGACCTTCACAGCGGGCACCCTGCCCTGCAGCTTCCAGAGCCCCCACAGGTATTAACTCCTGGCAGCAGAGAGGGCTCATATTGCCTTTCCAAAGCCACGGCTCCCATTAGAGTGACCCATTTGGCTCTATTAGCTGTGGGACACAGGCACGGTCAGTGGCTGATGGTGGCCTCCAAAGGAGCTGATGGTCTCGTCTGGCAGAGCCGTGATTGTCTGGGGCAGCGCAGCCCCCCAGGAGTCCCACCAGCATGATGGGCACGGCTGGGGAGACTCCACTCTCTCAGGATGGACTGAGATGGTGTTTTGAAAAATGAAGGTCTTCACAGAGGGTAATTGAAGGTATTTTGTACAAAAGTGGGGAAGTGCTCAGGAAGCACCCAGCAGGGCAGGTAATGGCTTTTAGCTAAACCTCCCCAGCTCAGATCTTCTGCAGCCCCATCTGTCATCACTGGCACCGGAGCTCCCCGAGGGGAAAAGCCAGAGCATCCCACGGCCAGCAGCCCTGGCCATCACTGGCCCCAGCAGAGGCAGCTGGGCCACTGCCCGGGTTCCCTTGGCTGCCAGGGCTCGGGGCTGGTCCCGGGCAGAGGATCAGCTGCTGTGTCTCCACTGCTGGCTTTCTGTGGGACCTTGGACCATCCTCTACCCCTGAGACCCCACTGCAGCCCCCACCGTGCCCCACAGACAAGACCATCGCTAAGGACTAAAGCTCCTCTAAGCCCTTCTTTCTGACCAAAGGCAATAAATCCTCTCTCAGGCCCCCATTAGGGACCTCAGCAGAGCTCCCAAGCCTTGCAGTAACATAAGGAGTCCAACCAGTGGCTCTGAACCTCTTCCCACACCACTCACCGGGTTATCACCAGCTGCTTGAAGTGTTGGAGCTTCTTCTCGCCCTGGCAGGTCGTGCAGGTCCTGCTGCCCCGGCCAGAACAGGTAGTGCACCTTTGGATGCAACGGGAAGGATTTTAAAGAGGACTTTAGTCACTGCCTGCTTCCAGAGGCCTGGGGGGCCAGAGGGTAATTCATCTCAGGCCGTTGGTGTGGGTCAGCAGGACAACAGCAAGGATACCACGTGCTCCCCCGAGCATGGCTCAGGGGCTAGAGTCTATTTGCCGGGAAAAACAAATGACTAGTGCCAACCTCAGATCTATTTGTAAATGCGGAATTACTCAAAGAATGTATTTGTACATCTGATTAAGGACAATCACAATTTCCCCTCACATGGGTGGGAAGGAGAGAGTTGCTGCAGCGCTGCAACCCTCATCAGCAGCCCTCAACAGCTGATTCATTAAGGCTCTTCAAGCCATCATTAGCCCCAGTGGATTCATGCTTCAAAATGACTGCCGTGATTATGCACAATACCATCTCTGTTATTTTAAACTTAATGGAGCCACATAAACAAAACAGTTTTAGAACAGAGTGCCTTCTTTTCCTTTTTTTTTTTTTTTTTTTTTTTTTTTTTTCTTTTCTGGGGGAAAAAAAAAAAAGACCATAGGGAGGAACACAGACCAATTGCTTTAAACATCTGATGTAGATTTCATTCAAAGGAGTATGGTTAAATGCCTCAGCTGTTTGTATGACATGCAGAGGTCAATGAAGATTTAAAGAACTAGCATACTGTGATTCTACCCTGCCTTGCTAAGAAAAATAGGCCATAATAAATGCTATTTTCCTTCTTTTTTTTTTTTTTTTTTTTTTTTTTTTGTCACTTAAAGATCATTTTTAAGCCTGTTAAGTTTCATGTTTGGAAAAACCAGAGGGTGGTAATAACTCTCCGGGCTGTGCTGGCTGTGGGACCTGCCAAGCCCCGACCGTGTGCTGCGGGAACCAGACTTCAGAGCAGCTCTGGGGCTCGTTTGCTCCTTCCAGCCCCGTCCCACCACCCCCCGTGGGGCTCTGAGCTGAGCAGAGCCCACCGAGACCTGGGGCGGGAGGTGGAACATGGACCCGCAGAGACTCAAAGCCTCCCTCTTGCTCCTGAAGATCTGAGAAACTCTGCTCTCCTTGGAAAACCCAAAGCGGTCTCCGGTTTTCTGGAGATGCTGGGAAATACAGCAGTCTTGCAACAGAAAGGTAAAAAACATGGAAGGCAAGAGAGCCAAAAAATTATTATTTTCCAAAAGCTTAAGAGCTGCTCTCATGAGTTGGGCTCTCAGCCTGGTTTCTGAATGCTGGGGGTGGGCCACACAGAATGAAAAATAGATGTTAAAATGAAAGTTCACTTAAAAACCAGTGGAGGGAAAGGCTTCTTCTGACCAGCTTTTCCTGGAGAATGAAGCAAGTGCTGCAGTGCTCTATCTGCTGGGATCTGTGTGGCAGAACACAAAGGGCAGCCCGGGGGCATAGAGCGTGGCCCCGCTCTGCACTGTGACCCCGGCCAGCAGCCAGCCAGGGGGGTCATTTCTGCTCACAAAAAATGGATTAAGGGCTTTTTTTGCCCCGTCAGCTTCCCAGTGTTTTCCTCCTGTGTGCAGATCCTCAGCTGACAGCCTCCACCGAGCGGTGGGACTGGGGTGACTGGTTCCCAGTGAGGTGCCCGGTGGGAGGGACGAGGAAAGGGGCAGGGTGGGAGTGGGGGGCAGCAGGGGGGGCACAGAGGAGCCATCCTACCTTCTGCGGCCGGTCCCCGCGCAGAGCTGGCAGCGCTTCTGCTGCTCCGGCCCCCGCCGCGACCCCCGGCACGTCACACACCTCCTCTACAGACACAGCGGGGTAACAGAGGGGGTGACTGGCAGGAAAAACCATCAGGTGCATAAATCAAAAGCTTTGATGTACCTTACCAGAATAATTGCCAACTTAGGCTTGTGGAGAAAGGTGTCTGACAAGTGCATACCCGGCAAATGAAAAGAATGTACAAACCAGCTCCTAAGTTGTGACTGGAGTAATGAGGTGCTCCAGCCAAACCCAGCAGTGATGCAAACCCCACACACCACCTAGGCTGAAATGCCTTTTTTCTTACACACGTGTTTTTCCACTATTATTTATTAACACAATTGCTAGTAGACTCTTATTTAAGTATTCATATATAATCAGATTAACTTCCATTAAGGGGCAATTTTAGTGCAGTAACAATAAATCTTTTGGCTGCCTTTGGGCATATCTGTGCAGAAGAACAAATAGAGAGAGGAGCCCAGATTTGCAGCTGCACCTTCACCTCTGGGTTAAGCCTCCTCTGAGCACTCAGAGACCCCGAACCCAGAACTGAGCGTATCCCACCCACAGCAGCCACTTTGCTGCATTTCATGCCTAAAATCTGACCACATTTCACCAGTGTGGGAGCCAATTCTCCTTTTCCTCTCACCATCATTAGATGTTGGCTGGTGCTGAGGATGGGGGGAGACACCTCTGCTCCCCAGGCAGGATTTTGCCAACCCCATTGAGCATCTCTGCGGGAGCTCAGCCGGGACTGGGTGAACCCGAGGGGGTTTGGGATACAGGGCAGCAAAGGGGGAGTGAACCAGAGCTGCTCTCGGGCTCCCTACCCTCATAATAAGAGAGCACCTGTGGTAATCTTGCAAATTAAGCCCAAATTTCAAGGAATAAGACATGCAGGCTGCCAGGCGGGGGGGTCTCCAGCTCCTTACCCGACCTGCTCCCTGGCACACCCCACACTTGGACCGGCCGTGACCGTGGCATCTGTGGCAGTCCTGAAAGGAGAAGATCATTCATGCGGAGAGCTGCCCAGGGGTTTCGGGTATCTCACATCACGCACATGCACTCCTCCTGCATCAAAATTCAGCAATAAAATTCTGGTCCTAACGGGACAGAATCCAACACCACAAAATTGTGCTGTACGACCATTAAAGGAGTCATAAATAATAATTATTTAACAAAGGCAAATGTCTATGTAGTGCTGTCAAAAGAAAGTAATATTTTTTTCTTTATTTATCATTTCACTTAAAAAGTAAAATAAATTGACCAGCTATAGAGCTTGTCAAAAGCTAAATGGGAACTGTCATGCAAACAAATGTTCTGCTAATGTTGAAAAAAAAAGTAACAAAAGAGGAAAGATTATCCAGTGTTTTTTTCTTGAAATGGCTGCAGCAAGATTTGTCCTCAAACTTGTAGAGGAAGAAAACACCAGGAAGAAGGGATCTCTGACTGTTTTCCCAGGCATTTAATGAGGAAAAACCCAAGAAAATAAGAACTATAGTGAGGTGCCTGTGCTTGTCCTGAGGATCTGGGGGTCCTGGTGGGGGGGACACTGCTGGGGGCTGCTCACTGAGCCCCAAGGAGCCCATGGGCTGGGGAAGGAGCAGCCGGCAGCGAGGGAGGACTCACCCTGACCAGCGCCGAGCGGGGCACCCGGCAGCGCCGCGTCTGGCCTTGGAAGAGCCGGGGAGCCCCAACCTCCACGTCCCAGGGGTCCGAGGGGGTGTCCCTACGGGGTCCAGCTGCTCTGGGCTCTGCAGGAGGGGACAGAGTCTTACCCATTGTGCCAGAGGTGCTGCTTGGGTGCTGGTGCTGCTGGGGACCCTCACTCCCCATACCTAGGAGGGCATCGCAGCAGGGACCAACCCCTCATGGAGTTGAGCACCCTCCTGCCACCACGGCACAGCCCCCTGTCACCCCCCAGCCCTCCCAGCAGACCCCCCAGGCCAGCATGGGCACGTGGGATCAGCCATCACCCCAAACCCAGGCTGACGTCGTGGCCAGGAGCCACACGAGCCCTGGATGGCGAGTGCCGCTGCCCACCCCAGCTCCAGCCCGTGGGGCACGTCCCAGCAGAGCCCCCCCAGTCACTTACTGGTGAAGGGCTCGAACACCCACTCGCTCAACCTCGACTCACTCAGCGTCTCCAGCCGATACTGGAAGAGAAAAATCACGCGCTCACCACGAAGGCAACCTGCACACGGCAGGCGTTTACAGCCCAGCCCCGACGTGCTGATGCTGGGTCTGGGGTCATTCCCAGGCTCTCCTGTCCTGAGTACCACTCACTTAAGAAAAACTAGTTGGCACATTCACAACAAAAAAAAAAAAAAAAAACCTAGTAACCACAAAGGTCTAGGTACAAAGTTGAAATTCTTAGTTCTGAATATTATTGAATACTATTGTTCAGCCAGATCCTTAATTCATTGCCAGAAGAAGTCTCCACTTTTGGGTCTCCCACCTTGATGCTCATTATTGTCAGACCAGAGTAAAACCGATAGAAAAAATAGTGTGGTACTGCATTCAACAAAAAAAAAAAAAAAAAAAAAAAAAGTGCCTTTTGCCATTATTTGTAGAATCCTGTGGCTTATTTTTTAGGTAAGGCCCAGATGAGGTTAGTGAGTAAGCTGAATAATCTCAGAGGTGGAACAAACACCGAAGTGAAGGTGTAGCTGCTCCAAAGAGCTACCAAGGGGCAGTCCCAGCACCCTGCTCCCCCTCCAAGAAGCCCCAGAAAAGGGGGCAGGGGTGGGCACAGCATCGCTCCTGCCCCGCTCGGGACCCACACCAAAGCACGGGACCCACCGTTTCGGTCTGTCCCCTCGGGCAGCGATTCCCCAGCCCAGGACTGAGCCAATACCCAGCTGCCAAGGCAGCAAATCTGCTATTTTCCGTGAGAGGGATGGCAAGAGGGAGTCAAAGCCCACGTGTGTCTGTGGAACCAAACATTGCCAGAACAGACCCACAGCTGGGGGGTGCGTGGCATCACAGTCACTCGGTGCCTGCCTGAGCCCCCAGTGCCGAGCTGTGGGGCAGGGTCTGTGGGGCAGCTCCTTTCCCAAAGCCAGGCTGGCAGAGGAGGCTCCCAGGGGCTCTGCCGAGGTGGTGCCTCAGCGCAGAGGGGGACATAGAGCTTTGTACAGCTTCCAGCTACACAAACCTGCACTCAGCCCTTCAGATCTGCCCTTAAAGCAGGATGAAAGCCATTTAATTTAACAACTGGCTGGCTCTCTGTGGCTGGGTGTCCCTGTGTTGGAGCTGCAGGCACTCACCCGGTACGTCCCCCGCTGCCGCAGCCGCCGGATGGCCGGCTCCTCGCCCGCACCGGGCCCACAGCAGCCCCGGGAGGACACGAAGCGCAGGAGGGCTCGTCGGGCCACCGCCTCCGACACCGGGGACGCGCTGGGGGGCAATGGGAGCAGACCCCCTTCCACGGGTGGTTGTGGCAGGGGCTTTGCACCTACGGGAAAGGGAAAGTGAGGAATTCAAACCCAATTTGAATCCAAGGCAGACTTTTCTCACAACAGCAGCAGGATCCAGCTGCAGCAGCTAAAGCCAATGTGGGGTCAGCAGTTTGCATCCCACCAAACACCCCAGCCAGAAGCTGCTCATCCCAGTGGCCTCCCAGTAAAGCACTGGGCAGGCTCCCAGGTGAGTCAGGCGGCGGTGCCCATGCCCACAGCCCTGCCCTCACGCTGTGCTCAGGGCACCGCAGCGGCCCCAGCCCCTGCTCAGCACAGCTCTTGATGACTTTCCAACCAGAGAGAAGCCCCAGCCAGATGTCAAAGGCAATTGCTTTCCAAAACATCTCTGTCTGCAAGAGAAGCTGGCCAGGAACCCCAGCTCAGGAGGTGAAGAGGAGCCAGATCTGGAGAGGCACAAGCCCATTGCGGTACAAGAGGGAGTGTTTCATAGGACTGTCCCCTCACCTGCCACCTCTTGGGTTCAGCAGCTGCTGGTGCTTCCTCATGGTCAGAAAAGTGAAGTTACAGGGATGCAAAGTGACAGAAAGATGAGAGGTCAAGTGCCACACACGTACCTCTGCCCTGGACCATCTGCCCGCTGTCATCCAGCTGTCCTGGGGGTGCGGATGGCATCAGGGGACATCCCTGCTCTGGGTCCGGGTCACCTGTAGCCCAGGGAGACATCAGGGAGTGAAGAAGCCCTGGGGTTGGAGGGTGCGTGTGGAGCCCAGAGATGCCAGAGGCCGATACGTGCCCCGAGGATTTACTGCCCTGTCCCGTTTTCCCGCTCTCCCGGAGCTGGGTCCCCGCGCTGAGGCGGACCAACACTGACACCCTGTGTGGGTGACAAAGCCCTGCAGCTCCTCAGAAGCACCGGGAGAACCGGGACACGGCGCTACGAGCCCTGGCGGTGACTGCGGGGACTCGGTCCCTGCGGGCGGTGGCAGCCGCAGCCCCGGGCGGGAGGCGCGGGGGGTCCAGGAACCTTCAAACCCCCCGAGAACCCCCCCGGAGAGCTGGGGAGAGGCTGTAGCCAAAGAGCTCAGACTCGCTCAGGTTTACATTGAACGGGCCACAACCAGAGGTGAAGTCAGCACCTCCTGGTGCCTTTGGAACATCCATCCCCATCTGACCAGCCCTGACTCTGCTCATCCAGCAACTGCCTTTTCTCTCAAAGTTTCCAACTTTTAAAAATTCTATTCATGGGACATCGGTTGTTTGTTTCCTTAGGTACTGCTCTAAAAATAACCACTGCTCCTCCTGATGCCCGTGACAGAAACAATTCATTTTATTAAGCCTTTTATCCAGTGACCTTTCATATCACAGCAGCTGATTATGAAAATTCAGTCTGTGCAAGAAAAGAGCGTGGGGAGGAGCCGGGAAACCAGCCTGGCAGCAGCAGGAGGTCTGGGCAGCACGGAGAGGGGCTGAGGGTGCCCATCCATCAACTTGATTTACTGGACTTTTCTTCTGAGAGCATGCTCTTTTCTTCCGGGAAGCTAAATTAATCTCCCCCTTATTTCTTCCTATGAAAATAAGAAACTATATGCTTCATTTCAGATGTCACATCCCTCATGCTGGAGAAGACAAGGCTGCCCTTGAGCTGAAGGAGCACAGGTTTCCAAGGAGCAGTGAGCGATATATGGAGGACTTCCTCGTGAAAAATAAATCAGTGAGATGCCTTCAGCGTGATTATCTTGGCCATGTCTAGATCAAACAGAAACGTCTTTCTCAAGCAGTGGGTAAAGTATCTCAAACAGTTTTGGATTCACTGGTCAATTAGTTTGCAGACAAGGTGAGTCTTCTGGGGCTTCACCTGGAGCGCTGCAGGGAAACACTCCAGGAGCATGGACTCCCAGGTTCTTATTTTGACTGTTATATCACAACAAATCCTTTATTTTCATTCCAGAATATAATGGATTTCTGTACGCATTACCAAGAGGACCTGAGCACCTATTTTTAATGTGCAAATGTTAAACAAAACCCTGTTTACAACAAAAGATGGAGATAAGAGTAGAAATACCAAATTCCAGCCCAGTGGAAACGGTTTAAATGACCAGGTTAAAAATACCCCAAATTTGGAGTAAATAAATCAACTGCACGGTTGTTGCTACGGTGATGTTGCTGGAAATCACAATAGTCTACAAACATGAACACGCAGCTCCATTTTAAAACAACAATGAGCCTGAGATAGGCTTTGACCAAAACCAGGAAATTCAGAGTTTAGGCCATTACTCATCCGATATTCCAGGTTTTGTTCTCTATCACCTATGGGATCCAGCTCCAGACACCCCAAAACAATCAGCAAAATCCCCACAGCAGGCAGCAGTGGGGGAGCCCAAGCCCCGTTTATCAGACCCGTGGTGACCCCAGCACAGCATCCCCTGGACCTGCGGCTCCATGGCTGGCCGAGCTGGAAGCCAGCCCGACCCACGGCACCACCCTGGCTTTTCTTTCCCCTCATCTGATTAAACAGAAACTTCCTGTATCATTATTTCTTCTTAAGCTAATCAAGGCTTTTCTCATTCATAAATTAAGGAACCTCAGAACTCAATTACTTTTCAGTAGCGTCAGTGACAGCGATATTTCACTGGGGCCCCACATAATTAGAGTTTCCACAGGCACCGTATTAACATCTAATGAAAAAGATATAGTCAAGGGCACGAGATCAAAGCTCTATCATGACAGATATTTTGATCGAGCAGCATTTTGTTAAAAGATAACAAACCCCAGTTTAATCTCTAACACATGTCAGGCAGCTTAGAGTGGACTCCGAGAATCCCATCTCAAAGGCAAAACGAAGAAGTGTCCCAGGAGCAGAGATCAGGGACTAAGTTCTCGCCTTTAAGGATTAAGTCCCTGTTCCACTGGAACTGGTGGGCTTTGCGTTGGGCCTAAAGACGTAGCAGCAGCTCACAGACATGGCACAACCAACGTGCTGACCCTTCCCACACCGCCTGGGAGACAGCATGTGCATTTGGGGGAAAGAGAAGTTCAGTTCTGGAAACAGTTATTTTTTACATATTACTTGAAAACACAGTTTATGAATATCTTAATCAGGAAGTACAAGTGCATAAAAATAGCAGAGAAACTCGCCAGCCTGGCACACAATGTATTTCTTTTAGTTTTACTTACTGTCTGCTTTCATTTCTTGTTCCATTTTCCAAGGCCAGGAGCAGAGACGATCCCGTCCCAGCAACCTCCTCTGGAATAAATACCTTGTTTTCTGCAAACTCTGGGCTCACAGCAATGAAACCCAGCCCCTGTGAGACACTCCCCTCTGCCAAACAATGCAGATGCTGGGAATTAATAAATTAATGTCAAAGCTGGACAAAGCAGACACTTGCTGGGAAGGAAAGTGCCAGACAGCCCATACACACCATGCTGGCTTCCCAAAGGAAGATGACCAGAAATCATGGAAACTGCACCTGAGACCAAATTACAGCCAGAGGGGTGTAAAAGGGGCCATAAAATCCTTCAGAACCCTCAACGTTATGGTTGAAATCCAGTCGTGAAAGACACATCATTAACCATGGGCTCAGCAGAGGAGCTGGGGCTGAAAGCACCATTCACTCCACAGGGAGAGAGCTGCCTCTGGGGCATCACATGAAAACCCCATGTATTCAGAGCTCCTGGGGTTAGCTTTGTTCCAGTATCTAGCAGAATTATTAAATACCTGCCAACTTAAACGCAGACACTAAAGACAACATTAGCAATGCTTTGTTCAGTGTCTTTCTTTTGCCAGGCGGTGTGTCCAGAGATGGGTGGGGAGTCTCCTTCTCTGGAGACATTCAAATCCCACCTGGACACATTCCTGTGGGACCTGCTCTGGGTGACCCTGCTCTGGCAGGGGGTTGGAGGAGATGAGCTCCAGAGGTCCCTTCCAACCCCTGCCAGCCTGTGATGCTGTGAGTTAACCAGGGAAGTTGAGTTAACCAGGGGAGTTAACCACCCATCTCAGTCCTCCAAAGGGCGGCTGGGCTGGGACATGGGCTTCAAGCCCCCAGAGTTGAAGCCTTTCGTAGTGACAGCCAGGTGAGACTTAGTATTTTATTCGCTGTGGCACGATGCAAGCTTGGACAGAGGAGACTGGCAGCTTCATCTGGGGATGCAATTAATGTAGCCCAGACTATCAACGCTGCAGGCGCAAGCTGGTTTTAATTATGCTCAGACAGTCTACGTAATGACAGCCTCCAGCACAGCTATGTTTAGTAGCGTGAATGCCACCGGAGATGGGAAATCTATCATTCAGCCTGACGGGGCTCCGGGAAGGTGAGTCAAGGCGTGGGTGAGACATTCCCCAGGCCAGGCCTTGTCCCACCACCCACCGCCCCAGCTTCTCCACACAGCTCTCACGGACACTCGGGATGAACACTGGGACAGATGGAAAATCAAATTCCCATCAGCAAGGAAACGTGCAGAGCTAAGGCTGGTACAGACGTTGCTGTTGTCTTCCCTGAGCACCACTGAGCTCCGCTTCCTTCCAAGCGCTCAGCATCCCAGCATGAGCGTGCCACCACACAGCACACACCGCGGCACATTGGCTGTCTCCAGCTGTGTGCATCCACAGGGCAGTCCCAACCACCCAAACGAGAGGAAATGGCCTCAGGTTGCGCCAGGGGAGGTTCAGATTGGATATTAGGAAAAGTTTTTGTACTAAACATTGGAATGGGCTCCCCAGGGAAGGGGTTGAGGCACCATCCCTGGAGGGATTCAAAAGCCGGGTTGACATAGTGCTTAGAGACATGGGTTAGTGATGGGTTTTATCAGAGTTAGGTTGATGGTTGGATTCAATGATCTTAAAGGTCCCTTCCAACACAGACAATTCTATGATTCTGTGATTCTAGAGACTTAGAGACACTTAGAGAACATCTGACAAGGAGTCTTACAATGGCTGCACTGTCCATGAAGCTATAAAGCATGATTTAGGGATGTGCCAGGTGCTCATCGCTGGCGTTTGTGCTTTGCTGGAGACACACTTTTGGAAAAAGCTTCTTTTCTAGTTTTGCACATTGCATCAGAGACGCTGAAATGTGTCAACGGTTAAAAACTACACAGAATAATTCTAATGAGCTCAAAAACATAACTGCCTCCAAGCACTCACACCCTTAAATGCATGTGAATGGTATGATACAAAAGAAAACAAAGCTGTACCAAAGGGCCTGCTGGATCATGATAACATTGTTCCTGAATTGTCCCCTTTCACTGGAAAAAAAAAAAAAAAAGCTAAAAAAAACCCAAAAACATCACAACAGCAAAGGAAAATCTTGATTCTGGAGGAGAGGAGAGGCAAGGAGAGTTATTTTCTGTTAGAAACAAGCCTTTTGATCCCATCCCATATGCTTTGTTTAGCTGGGCTTGCAGACAGCATCTATTTCTTCACCTCCGCTCTCAGAGAAAAAATGAGATCTTGGTAACCAAGCTGCCACCTGGACTGGTATTTGAGTTTTTCTCACCTCACCCATCCTGAACATTTACAATATGGGCAATCACTATAAATGTCATTGTCGTTAGCATATCTACCAGTTCCTCCACAGAAAACACAGCTACTCGATATTCAGAAAGAAAACATAATACAAAATATTAATAAGGGGAAAAAAAAAGAATAATTCTCTCATTTACAGTTGCTGAGGTGAATCTTCTATGTACCCCCTGCATAGGGACCCCCGAGAGCGGTGTGTGCCAGCGTGGTCCCAAGCAGAGGCAGAGCTCAGCAGGGGCTGCTGTTTGTCCCCACGCAGGGACCATACACCCATCTGCCTCAGGACTCACGTTTAGGGGGTGAGGAGCCTCCCCCACCAGCCCTCTGCCCCCACAGGAACCTCGTGCCTCAGTGTCACCATCACAATAAGTCTCCTGTCCCCAGTCGAGCGCGTAGCTGCTGACCGCGGGGAGCTGCGTGCTGCTTGCCCAGGGCAGCCCCACTCCAAACCCCATGGACATTGCTCTGTGGGACGTTCATGAGAAGGAGGAAGGGGCCATTTCTAACCCTCTGCAGCCAATGTCCCTGTGGGGGGTCTCCCTGCCATCCCCTCTTCACTCGTGCCACAGCCCCTGGCACTGCTCGTGCCATCCCTGCCCATTCTCAGACGCTGGGCTCCAGCAGGGACCCCACGCAGGGCAAGAAAACTGCTCTGCAGGGCTCCTGGGACCTGCCGAGCACCCACCAGCCCTCCTCACCAATTTCTCCTCTATAATCTGACCTAGAGAATCAGATCTCACCCACACACACTGCCCCAAGGCTGTATTTGGGTGAGCTCAGACAGGTCTCCAGGAGGAAGACGACCAAGCCCATGCCATCACAGGGGTGACCCATCACCCACGGCAGCACCTGTTTGGGCATCACTTCATTTAAAACCAACTGGCCTGATCAGCATTTCAGCAATACTGGTCCCATGGGCTGATTATCCAGGCAGCTCTCCCAGGAAGAAACGAGGTCCTGTGCCATCTCCCAGCCCAGAGATGAGCCATCCCTTACCACCAGACGTCACCTCCTCGCTCGCACTGACACCTACCCCTCCAAACGGCCGAAAACCAGCTTCTCATCTAGACCCAGCACTGAAAAAAACCCTGAGATGACCTTTCTGGATGCTTATTTATGCTAAAAAATCTAAACCCTGAGCTGGATACAGATGGACAGTTAACTAAAATAATATTTACAGATATAAGAGAAGCACTTTTAGGGGGGAAATGGTTCATATTAGTCCTTATCAACACCTCAGCATCACGCTCACCTGATGGACCTTCAGGCACGTCCTGACACTCTACCTCAGCACTAAACCCTCGCTATTGACGTTGTTGCTTTATCTTTCCATCCCAGTGAAGCCCATACACAGGGACACCAGCACAACCACCTGTCCAAACCCCCTGAGAGAACCTAACCGCATTTCTAACTTTATGGAGGTGCCTTTACTTGCCGTTTCCTCCTGCTCTTTGTTTCCTTGAGCAGACCCATGGAATGGCTTTACTACACGGCCAGGTCTTCAATTTAGAGTGTTAGTACTTTTGACCCAATTCAGTATAAATTGGGTCTTGTTTTTCCCAAAGAAGATGGGACCCGATTTCATTCCAGCTGGAAAAATTTTTCTGAGATTTATAGGTTTTAAATCAGCCCCAAAACCTTCAGTTCTTAAACTGCTGTACAATGATTTATGTCTCTAACTTTCCTCTTCGTTTTGGGAACCCTGTCAGAGATATACAGTAGCTTTCTCCTCTCAGAGAGCAGAGGAAACTGGTTTCATCGTCCCATATTAAACTCCCAGTTTTGTATATCCCTCTGACTGGGAGAACGATTGTGAAGGCGATGTCCAGGAGACCTGGAAGAGAGACCCTGCCTTCTTGTGTTCATACCACGAAGTTCCATACTTCCCCAGCAGCTCAAAAAAAAGAAAGGGGAGGACAAGGAAGGTCAGCTCCTGCCGAGAACTTGTTCAAATTATTTTTAGAAGACACGCTTTGTTCTCTCTCACAGTGGAGACAATATCCTCAGCAATCCCACACACCCCACACTTGCTGACATCCAGCACAGGAGCTGGAAGAGTCTCTTCTCCACTGGTGTCCACCAGGATACCTGTCCAAGGGTGCTCTGGCCCATGGCAAACTGAAGGGGAAGAGGAGGAGGTGGCCAGGCGTCCTCCCCAGCCTGGCTGTGCTCACCCCAACCCCAGCCGGGAGAGGGTTTTTACCTGGTTTTGTTTGTTTTATCCCAGGAGTAAAAATAGTTGGGCTTTGTTCTTTTGGGTGGGTACAACTAATTTTTAATGGCAACTTGCCCTTTCAAAAGGCACACTCCAGACTATTTCAAGAAGTAAAAACAGTTCTTTGCCAAAAGCAAGGGCTAATCCTTTATCTGAAGTTATTAAAATACTATCATTAGTTCAAGCAGAAAAACAATGCTTCCTGCCAGAACTGGAGTTATCTTCTCTTATCATGAAGTCATGAAGGGAAGAAGCAATAAATATAACAGCACACCAAAAAATGGTTGTTCTAATGAGTAAAAATAACTCTGTCAGAATAGGTACATGTAGCAGATACTTATCCAAAAATACAGAGCTGAATAGAACAGTCCAGTGGTTTCAAAATGAATGTGTGCTCTGGGATTTGCAGCTGGAATTCCAGGATGGAATACCAGGGTGCTGCCAGACTCTGGTCCTGTTGGGGGGGCCATGGGCTGCGATTTGCAGCTGGAATTCCA